TCCAGACACAGCAGCCACAACTTCTCCAACCATAACTGCAACCAGCACAGCAGTGCACTCCACCCCTGTGTCACTGCCTATGCTGAGCCTTCCAGTGCCAGAAGAAGAGCTGGCGCTGGATCTGGATCTCAGTGCCCTGGCAAGGGAAGGAGGGGGAATCAGTCGAGTTTGTGCTTGACACCCCTCTGGTTTTTTTCCTTTCAAGCCACAAGGTCTTTCCCAGAAGGCACTTCAGAAGGTGCCTCTGTACAGGTGAAGGCAAGCGGCTCAGCTGAGTCTGCTCTTTCTCTTGCTGTGCCTCTGACTGCTAAAGAGGGGGAGAGTTCAGCAGCATCCACAAATGCACCTGCACGCCAGAGGGAAAGGCTTAGTACTAGTATGGTCTGGGATCATTATGAGCTGGCAGATGATCCCGCATTTGCTATCTGTGTGCACTGCCAAGCCAAAATCAGCCGGGGCAAGGGAACAAAGAACATGACCACCTCAGGGATGATGAATCATCTCCGCAGATACCACCCCTTTGCCCTAGGAACGGTCCCTGCTCACTCCATAACCACCGTCCCCCCACAGCAGAGGCAGGGCACCCTGGAACATTGGGGGCAAAAGGAACCAGTTGCAAATGCGAGCAAGGTCACCCAGACCATTGGGGAGATGCTTGCTCTGGATGGCCAGCCCTTCACCTTTGTTGAGCGGGCAGGGTTCAGGTGGCTCCTGGCAGGCTTCATCCTACCAGGCTGGCTTCATCCTACCAGGTGCCCTCACACACCACCTTCAGCAGGACGGTGGTGCCCTCCCTATACAGGGAGCACTTGAGGGAGGAACTGCACAAGGCAGGTCCGCAGGTGACCGTACACTTCACCTCAGACATCTAGAGCAGCCGGGGTGGAGATCATGTGTACCTCTCCCTCACAGGGCAGTGGTGTGGCCAGTCAGGCTGTCAGTGGGCACTCCTTCACGCCAAGGTGATGGATGAGTCCCATACAGCAGCAGAGATAAGGAGCCATGAACCACATGATGCAGGGGTGGCTGGGCGTTGGGTAGGCTGAGCTCACCCATGGCTTCATGGTCACCAA